CACAATTGGCTGCCATTGGTGCTACGTATAATTTGGAGCCAATTTTCTCTTTGGTAAACTTCTTCATCATCAACAACGTGATGATGAGCTGCGAGATATTTATACCATGATAAGAGATGGACTCCCATGTGCACGGTATTTACCTACTGGTTATCGCAAAATATGGGAGCAATTGTGTATTAAGGATGGTTTATTATGCCGTTCTTATTCACTGCCTGGTTATCGTAAAGTAACTGTTCCGTTACTACCTGACAACCTTCATCTTCAAGTCCTTCGACATGAACACTCACATCCCACTGGTGGTCATGTGTCTTGGGATAGGTTGGTTGGTCGTCTACGTGCGAAGATTTATTGGTTGACAATGAACCAAGATGTTCAACGCTTCTGTGCTACTTGTAAGTACTGTATTGCAGCTAAAGCTCGCACTCCAGTATCTCAGCAGTTGGCTCAAACTGAGATTGGTAGTCCGTGGGAAGTAGTTGTAGTAGACGTCCTTAAGATGCCAATGGATGCTTCTGGTAACTCAATATTGGTTACTGCTTCTGATACCTTTACAAAGTGGGTTGAAGCCAGAGTAGTTCGCAGGGAAGATGCTTTCAGTGTGATTGAAGCACTAGTAAGTATGTTTACTTCCCTGGGTCTACCAAGCTACATCAAGACTGATCGTGGTAGTGTTTTTCGATCTCATGTGATGCAGCAACTGGCGCAGAGGTTTGGTGCGGCTAAGATAAAGTATGGAAGTTCTTATCATCCTCAAAGTCAGGGTCAGATTGAGAGATGGCATAGAACGTTCTTGATGATGCTGAAGTCATTTGGTCAACAGTTTGCTAATTGTTGGTCGGCTGCACTACCGTTGTTATTGTATTGTTACCGTACAACTCCATCAACGACTACTCATGTTACTCCCTTTCGTGCTATGTTTGGTCGTGATGTTAAAGACTTATCGTTTGGCGATGAGTTTACTTACTTGGCATATGATATGCCACAATGGTTGTCGGTGTTGGATGGAAGACTTTCAGAACTACGAGACTTGATTGATCAGAGTATCACAAGAAGTTCTCTGGATAATATCAAGTATCGCAAGTCAAGTAAGAGAAGCTTCGAGAAAGGTGACAATGTTGGGCTTAAGTTTCCTTCTCGGTCAAATAAGCTAACACCTAATTATGAACTGGGCTGGAAAGTTGAAGAGATTGATCACCCGGTAGTATTGATCAGTCATTCAAAACATCCTCCTCGTCGAGTTCATGTTGATAGATTGGTGCTTATTCCTACTGAAGTTGTAGAAGGAGATGATACTGTAGACGATGGCGGTCTATGGTTGGTAGATGATAATCCTGATGTTGGTGTGACATCATTAACTACAACTCCAGATATCTCTTTGTTGAAGACTCCCGAAGCTGATATATCAACTGAAGCTGATACGGCAGATGATGTTGCTGTTGAAGTTAAGTCCGATCCCCTAGAACGTGCTACGTATGTTGGTCGATATGCTCTACGTGATAGATCTAAAGATAGAAGACCAGTGCGTTATTCATAAGTCAGGCGTTATACTGATGTATGGATATCTTTTCATGAGAAGAGGGGGCGGATGTAAGGACTTGTGTCACTGTCCCATTTGTGGTACAACTGTCCTTGAGCTAAGCTGTGCTAGATATTCACATATTCTGCAATACTATAAGTAACGTGAGAATAAGTTATTCATCCCTCGAGTCGAGTGGATTTTGTTAACGGTTACAACCTCTCGTCTGTTAATTTACCCGGTAAACTTTACCGTCACTCAACTCGAAATCCCACCCAACCCACGAACCGAGACTACGGGTGAGCAGGAGTCCATACCTATCATATGGGTTAAGGCTCTCGCTGGGCTATCCGCTACGCGTCTAGGGTTGTGTACCTGCTGTGCGCAGCCAAACGCGAGATCTGTAGGCTTGAATATTCACGAGGCAGCGGGGAGCGTTCCCGCGAGTTCCGGGCTATCGTGATCGCCTTCAGATTAGTCGCGGACAGTGCCCGACTCCCAGTCCCCGTAGTTAGAGGTTTCACGTATCGGCCGAGTCAGTGCTCACATTCGCCTATATTCTCAACAAGGTGGGGTATGCGTACTCTACCATAAAAACTCATACAGCAGATCTGAAATCACGGAACACCGAGCTCGGACACGTTTTTTCACAAGTCGGAGTTGAACTTATCCGAAGGGCACTCATAGCCGTCCGAAAGAAGAACCCTGGTGCCAGCGTTGAGCCCACTGCCAAGCTTCCAGTCACGATCAGCCAGACACGCCAGGCTCTCTAAGCATGCGCCAAAGAAAGAAAGAAAGAGACCAAGCGTCGCTCTTCTGGTATGCATTTTCGGGCTGCTGAGATGCAGGGAGTGTCTAGGCCTGAGGTGTAATGACATAACGTTCAACACCATAGATGATATGGATGTCGTGTTATTCTACATCAATCGCAGCAAATGTGATCGTTTCGGCGAAGGAGCTCTCGTCCGGATAGGGTGTGCGCTCCGTAGCACTGTTCGGCCACGTGAGGAGCCCCTGTGTACCGTACATCAATTGTCTGCTTTCATGTGCGATGGCTTCGTCGCCATCACGATGGAACCGAGACCCTTATTCGATAACTTATCGTACTTCACCTTCCGACGACACGTGCAAGAAGCCTTCAAGTCCTCTGAACGACCCAGATCGCCGGTAGCTACCCACTCTTTACGCCGCAGCGGCGCTCAGTGGATGTGGTTCGCCGGCATGAGCACCTTCAACATATCGCAATATGGCAGATGGTCAGTACAAAGCGTCCTAGAGAGGACATATCTGAAGAAGTCACTAAGGCGAGTGAGCATCAGTATGCATCGTCCATGATGTGAGGTTCCTATAATCCTTAGCATTCGTTTTGATAACTTGACTTGAGTTCAAATGGCTTCGGGTCTGGAATTGGAGCACAAGAGCCGAACTGCTTGAAGACCGCACTTTTCCCATCTTCGATGTCGACGCGATATCCTAGTGCCACTAGATTAATACTGCTCCAAGCAGTATATAC